TGAGCCAAGAGTTGCATTCTGGGTAAGCAGATTTTAAGTGGGTATGAGTACAGCAGGGGGTAAAGGAGGGTCTCATTGTCCTGGAATGTTTATCTTCCCCCCCCGGCCTTCATTCAGGAGCGGATTATGCAGTGCCATGCTTCAGAAGCAACCTTTGCCTCCAAGTGGAGGGTCTGCGGAGGAAATATTCATTCATACGCATACACATGTACAAACAGGCATTATCCTACTAACAAGAAGCCGGGCTGATTGCTCCCCAAAGGCGCGTCAAGTAGGTGGAAGTGGAGCCATGCAGCAGCGTGTCTCGCTCGCTGGGCTGGAGCCAGTGATGCTCCCAGTGAGTGTGAGGCAGTCATCATCCCTCAGCACAGCAGATTTTATTGGGCAGTGTGTGGGTTGTAGAAACATGTTTAATCAACTCAGCTGTAGTGGAGGTCTTGACCTCATGACAGTGGTTCCCAGTCTTGATTGTGTGTGTGTGTGTGTGTGTGTGTGTGTGTGTGTGTGTGTGTGTGTGTGAGTGTGCGTGTGAATGACTCCCAGCCTTTGCTGTGGAGTGTGACCTGCGGTGGAGCCTCTGGTTCACACTCTGTGCGCTGCAGCTGCTGGTTTAAGTGATTAACTGTAGAAAGTGATGACTAATCTGTCGGTTACACGTCTGAAACAATTGCAGTCAAATGAGATATTACAGGCAATATAGTTTGTAATGTGGCCCTCTGGATTTAATCAAGAGGAACATGAAAAGAGAGTCATTCCAAAGTTCTACTCCATAGTGCTGGAAGTCCATTTAAAACAAGTATTAATGACACAAAACACGAAAATGCTAAATACCACCTGTGAATAATTCACATCAAATTACCATACAGGCAGTGATGCACACTATAAATAAAGTCTTTCAAATTAAAAAACTCTGCAGCCTCTGCATGCTGAAAAAACTCCTTAACGACAGCACTGTATTTGGTTGATGCTTTTATTTGTCACGCAAAGGCTCAGAAAAATCAACCTACATCACATTCCACTGCTTGGTATTCACCCTTTGTACGGAAGTAAAGTTTAATGAATTGGATGCAGTGAATTAATCACACAATATTTCAACCCCATTGTGTAAAGACCTTTAACCACAATATCTCATTCATTATGGAAAAAGGTTTGTAAAATGCTGCTTCAGTCCAAACTCATGAAATCTGAACAAGTGGATCATTTGCCGGCTGTATAGGTCATAAATCCTGTCTCCTCCATGATAGTGAATGGGACATGGCCATTCACATAAAAAGATTTTTTCTAAAAGTTTGTTTCTCTCATGTTAGGTAGGTACAATGATCTATGGTCAAGCGTTCATGTTTCTGGTAAATTTGGTTCTATTAAGTTATTTGATGCTATTAAACACTATGTGAAATGTCATGATTGACAGCAGAGAGTGACTGGTGATTGGTTGAGCATGTGTATCTTTATTTCTGGATGGTGGGAGGAAGTGGAGACACGTGGTCCATCTTTACGTATCTATGGTCGAGACCTTACCTGACTTTTCTTCTAGCACCACATGACGCTGATATTTTAAGGTTTTATTGCAAAGTCTCACCAGCTATCAGCTGGATTTCCATAAAATGTGGTAGATGCATTCATGTCTCAGGAGGAATTTAAATAACTTTGGTCTTCTGACTCCTTTTATCAAGCTTGATTTTAAGGCTGGAGCTTGACTGAATACCTGAACAACTAATGACTTTTCCTTTCACCCTCAGCTTTACTATGTTTTTAGTTCTAATACACCCGGTCTAAGTGTTATCCAGTCAAAAATGTCTAGGCCCCTAATGGCTGCCTGCCTGGCTGCCTGCATTGTGTTTTGTGTATGGGTATGAGTCAGATAAAATAAACCACATGGCACGTGTGTGAGTATGTGTGTGTTTGTGAGGAAGCTGAACAGAGCCCTCTGCTCTCATTTACTATCTCCTTGTGTGGTTTGGCAGCAGCTCTGCTGGTATGGGGGTGTACAACGGGCATCCGTCTGGGCGCGAGGCAGGCCTGGCACCATGCTCAGCCCCCTGCAAGGCTGCGTGAGGGTGGGATCAGAGCTGGAGTGCACCAGGCTCCAGACTGGCAGTCTGTGCATGTGTGTACGAGCAAATGTAAAAAATTTTCGGCATGTATTCACACTTTTGCGTGTGTGTGGGTAATTCAATTCTAATCACACAGGCTTAAACCACACGTTTGCCATTGTTCTGCTTGTCACTTGCATGACTTGCATGTGTTGACCTCTCTATGTTGTTTCATAACTCTATCACAGAGCCTATCTGAGACTGTGTGTCCCCTTAATCATTTCCTCACTGAATTAACACCAGCCCACTTATTTGACCTTTGGGCTCATTATAGTTGTGAGGTGCAATCCAGCCATGCTGAAAGTAACACAATAGCTCGCCATGGCCGGATGCCATACCTCCCTGTACGGCACCGGAACGAATGAGAGAGGCACAGCAGAGCTGAGCTGGGCGTGGTTAGCACATGGACAGAAGACCACCCTTGGAAAATAAAATTTCCTCCATAAGTGTTGTTTGTTAGAGACCAGTGGAGGATGTTACTTCCTTAACGCTCAGTATGTGGGCCTCCGATTATTATGTGTTATTGGCTGTATGTCAGGAAAAGCCTGAATGGCCCTCAGCATACACACAGGTCCATTTTTGAAAACCCGCTCCAGCAAAGCTCCATACTCATTCGACCCTGTACCGCTATTATCGACATGTCAAATCTGGACCTGTTCACATATGCCCCACGACCCGACCTGTTACTTGTGATTAAACATACACAGTCACTCACATCAAATGGGTTATCAGCTCCTTGTCTTTGTGTTTTGGCGGTTGAGTTTTGTCCTCGTAAAAGTTTCTGTCCATCTTTGCAGCATCTGTGCTCCTGTGGTCAATGTGTTTCAAAAGCTATTGTAGCGCTTTGTACAAGCAGCAAAGTCACTGCACAAATATTTACCACTGGCTATTTCTTTCTTTATATGATCCATAAAATAAATCATTTCGAATGCGATGTTTGAAATACTAATTTCCATGTTTTCCAACAGTCCGATGGATCACAATGTAAAAGAAAGAGAAACCTGTCATGTCTCCTGTGTTTGAGTTTTCACTTTGATTATGGACTGTTTGGATTTGTGTCTTAAGTTTTGCTTCCTGTGTCCCACTCTGTTCCTTTATGTGTCCAACTCTGTGTCCCTCTCTGTGTCCCGCTCCTGTGTCCCACTCTTTTCCTTTATGTGTCCCTCTCTGTGTCCCNTGTGTCCCTCTCTGTGTCCCGCTCCTGTGTCCCACTCTTTTCCTTTATGTGTCCCTCTCTGTGTCCCTCTCCTGTGTCCCACTCTGTTCCTTTCCTGTGTCCCACTCTGTTCCTCTCCTGTGTCCCACTCTGTTCCTCTCCTGTGTCCCAGTCTGTTCCTTTCCGAGTCCAACTCTGTGTCCCTCTCTGTGTTCCTGTCCTGTGTCCCACTCTGTCCCTCTCCTGTGTCCCACTCTGTTCCTTTCTGTGTCCCACTCTGTGTCCCTCTCCTGTGTCCCACTCTGTTCCTCCCTGTGCTTCACCCTGTGTCCCTCTCAGTGTTCCTCTGTGTTCATCTCTGTGTTCATCTCTGTGTTCATCTCTGTGTTCATCTCTGTGTTCATCTCTGTTTCCTGTTTTATTTTGTAGTTTCTGCTCCTTGTGTGTTTTCCCCCTGGACTTCCTGCCCTCGTCAGGTTCATCTGTTTGTCCTGTGCCACCTGTCTCTAGTTTGTCATTAGGTCAGTGTGTATTTAAGTCTTTGTGCTTGGTCTTTGTCAGTTCTTTGGCGTACCATGTCTTCCCATGTGTGGTTTCACCACTCGCTGTGTTCGTAATCCTTCCAGTAAGTTCTTTAGTGTCTCCTTGTGTTTCCCCTGTTTTTGCTGAAGAGCATTTTTGAGTTACTGTTGTTTTTTGGATTTTGTTCTTATGCCCTGCCTTCATTTTTAAAGAACCTTTTGTTCTGCCTTTTGGATCCATCTGCGTCCTTACCCGCTCCACAAAACGCAACAGAAATCAATACCAAATTTAATGGGTTCTTTATTAGCCCATGTCCAATCCTTCATGTTCCTTTCTTGTGGATATCTGATGTAAAAAAAAAAAAAACTCTTAAACGAATGGGACATGAGAGAAAATGTAACTTCCTTGGTGGTGGAAGGTCCTCCACAATACTGACTTTACAACTTTTTTCATATAATGTGTTGATGGTGCAGTCACATAACAATAACAATCCAGCAACATATTAATTTTAATCTAAGACAAGGTGCACAACACATTTCATCCCAGTTCTTGGTGCAATCACTGCAGCATTGCAGCAATACTAGTGTCTGATTGGACCACACACAAATTTGTGTAATGCTTTTGCTTCATGTCACATCATCTGCGTGAAAGACAAGAGATATGATGAAGGTCGATCGCTCTGTTTGTCTTTCCTATCGGGGCTCTTTGTGGGGAAAAACACATTCACATGTGAGTTCATGTGAAAGCATCCAGGTTTCTACTGATGCCTCCTCCTGTGCTGCAAATGAATTGTAATGGCTCGTAGGCTCCTCCAGTTTTTCCATGTGTTAATCATTTGTGCACATCTATGTACAAAACCTCTGCAGCTTATGGATTTCTATATATCTATATGTCTTACAGGCAAATGTAATTAGTTAAAGTAAGGCTCTTACTCCAGTGAATGGGAACACTGAATGTCTTGATCTTCAGACCTGACAGTTGCAGTCGTTGACCTTTTTATGTCTCCTGTCAGCTCCCTCTCCTGTCTGAGGGATGAGTATCACAAACTGAAATTTATGCTCACTGCCACTGTTGCCTCATCACAGGCTGCAAGAACTGACTTGCATGGCTTCCTGGCTGATGCTGGGAGGCTGTTCTCTATTTTTGATTATTGGACACAAGGACACAACAGGGCGTAGAAATAATATTTGGAGAGTTGCAAAATGTAAAAACATTCAAAACACAGTATATTAAAGGAGGATTGGCATTTATTGAAAATACTCCTCAATAGAGAAAATGCGTGGGTGATACAGTCACATCTCTCAGAAATTGCAGCACACTCCACAGCCACCATCTTTGCAGCAAAAACCACACTTGACGTCACGCTTCTGTCTGTTTTGTGGCATCTGTGTGAGGGACATGAGGAGACATTCATCAGCACCATCATAACTTACTGTGTTTGTTTTCTCTTCTTGTGTAGACTGAGCTTCAGAGAACTTTTGTGACTAAAACATGTTGACTTCCATCTGAAAGATGTGATGTGAATTGGTTTGATCCACTCAGTGAACTGAACATACCATCCATGAGTCCGCTGATTGCTCCTGATGTTCAGCAGCTGCATTGTCACTGCTCACTGCCTCCTCCAGCTCTTGTACCTGATAAAGAAGAAATCAACTGTCAGTATTTGATGAGAGGTTCATGGCTAATGAGCAAATGAAATGATCTGAAGTCAGGTTCTTACCTCAGGAGAAGTGGCAGAGCTCTGCTGGATGCAAATAAAGACGAGCACGACGGCCACGGTGACTGCAGCACTGAATGTCTTCATCTTTGAGACTGAGTTAAGTTGTTTAAGTTCTTCGACTCTGCTGGTGACTCTTGTCAGCTCCTCTCAGTTCACCTGTCTGATGGTTGAATGTGCACTGTGCTGGTATTTGTACTGACAGAGGACACCGTTTCCTCATCACTGGCAGCATTTACTCTGCCTGCTTTCAGGAACAGTTGCCAGTATCCAAATATTTTGACATCCTGCAGTTGGGAAATTCCTTTTTTTAAACACTTTAGATATTTGGAGGGATTTTTCTCATAGTGACCTTTGACCTTTTTGATCACCAAAATCAAATCAGTTCAACTTTGAGTCAAAGTGATTGTTTATTCCAAATTTGAAGAAGTGTTTTCAAGGCAATTTTCTGAGATACAGTATTGCGTTCATGAGGTTTCTGCCAAATTTGAAGAAAGTCCTATGAGTTGCTCGTGAGATATTGTGTTCACTAGAAAGTATGAGAGCAGTATTGTGCAGTTTATTCTCACAGATGTGGAAGCATTTATGTTTCTGTTTTACTGGCACAAAGTGATTGTGTGACATCCCCATCTCTTTTGGCTGCTGGGCTGGTTGTTTATCTTTGTCAGGCTGTGTCAGAAATCACCTACTCACTCCTCATGTCCTACTCATGTATAGGGACTTCTATGTAGAGGACTATACAGTGAGGTCATTGGCGAAAGAAAAAAAAACGCTTTTGGACACTATTTGGTGCATTTTCTCTGCATCATCATTATGTCATTATGTCATTACTTAATTTTTTTGCACTAGTACTGACATTTGTACTTATTGTTTCATTTGCACTAGTGCATGTTATTGTATTTTTAGTTACTCTTATTTTATGACACTTGCATGTTGAGTTGCTTGAGGTGCCTGGGATTTAAGATTTTCATTGCCAAAATGTACGCTGTATCTGTTGTGCAGATGACAATAAAACCTTTGAACCTTTGAACCTTGAATTGTTGCAGGACTATGATGTACACAGGAAAGTGAAGTTTGGTCTGGAGAAGAACAAAATGACTAACAATTTGTACAAGTGGGACTGGGGATACTGAAGTTGAGAGAGTCACTTTCTGATGGAGCTGTGTTATGTGCTCTTCTCTCTTCTGAACGACCACAGCTATCCTTTATCTTATTAATGATACAAATTAGTTAATTTCAGGAACTCATAGAGCAAAACCAGTCACATTGTGTGAAATGAATATATTGTCATTCTCAGCCTAGAAGCTAATCTACAATCATAGATGCATTTTATTATTTCAAGTAAGCTCACAAGGGGATCTGTGTATACTTAGAGCGTGTTAAAGATAATAGGAATGCATTATGACATGTAAATGGTGTGATGTTTGGACCTGACTGTAATCTGACCTATGAAATGACTGCTCTCTACACTTGTTTACATGTTGGTTTCATTGAAGGTACTATTTGACCGTTCTGCTGTGACTTTTTACTTCTGCTACCACATCATCATTACGTTCATGGATGTTTCACATTAATGCTAATGTGTGGACGCTTGTGCTGTTTAAAGGAGAAATATTGCTTTTTTTTGCTGAGATCTCATTTCATTTTTTATGGGCCAAAGACTACCACAAAGGATATCTTAAAAAAGTTAAAACTGATACCTTCCAAGTAAATAAACTCAACCAAATAGACTTACAATCTTAAAGCATTAAAAGAACAGGTCCCTGAAACATTTAATTTTATTGTATGGGCATTTACAATATTTCAATTTTGTCATTTTGCTTATAATTTATTTCATGGTATGTTTGAGTTTTGAATTAGTTTACCTTTAGAAGGAAATTTGCATTAAATACATTAGCACAGAGAAACTACATTGAATATAATATTTAACTATTTTCTTCTTGCTATTCTCATCAATCAGTGTCTTGTATAGAGTGCTGCCACCAATCTCCTTTCCAACCTGGTGAATCTAAGACAACATGTAAAAAATTAGGGTCCTTTATCCAAAATATTTTGGAGACCCTCCAGATATTGAGATATTGATTTAATAAGATACAAACTGAAGATCAGAGGCATATTCTCCCAGGAAATGTCTACTTCTTTCACAGTTTACAGGTGTTGCAATATATTTTTTGTTCTATTAAACACTTTATTAAAGCCAAAATCAAATACAATATACAAGATATAGGGCACACAAAAGTTGTGTGCTTTTCAAAATAATTTCCAACTTTGTGTAATTTCTCTGACTGGACTAGAGTCTTGTGTGTGCAGAGTTAGATGTGTTAAAGCAATAGTTCAACAAAAAATAAAAATACAGTCATTATCTCCTCACTACTATGCCAACGAAGGGGGGGGGGTGAAGTCTTTGATACTCGGTAGTTCTCACTGATGATGTCACGTGCCCTTTGGGTGAGAGCATAGAGGCGCACGCTTTTGAGGTGTTAACGTGAATGTGGCTCTGGGCTGAGGATAAAAGACGACATTTAGACTTAAAACATGGTGTAAAAGAGGCCGATTTGAGTGGAATTTGAATGTCAGGGCTTACGGACACTTGGATGACACCACACGAGCAGTATGGAGGCATTTTCTTTTTTTTCTGTGCTATTAACTAACAGTGAGAGGCAGCATTACACCAAAGGGCATCCAGCCTGTCAGCCCTGCCCTGTAAAGAAGAAGTAAAATGTTTATGTTGGATTCAGTTGCCTCCATCATTCAAAAGGATGAATTTATAAGGATAGTCAAACTCAGCAGCCGCCACCCACTTCAGCATCATCAGCCAGTGAACTACTGAGAGAAGTCCCAGGTTTGTGAATCCATAGAGTTAATGAGCTGAAGTTATTCAAGGTTCAAGGGGCCGGGACCAGGGAGGGAAAATGAGTGAGAGCGTGAAGAGGACAGGTCAGAAGAAAATCTATGGAGGAGAGGAAACATTACAAAAGGAGAAATGAGATGATGAGGAGAGTGAGAAATAATTTAAAGACAAGAAAAAAAGGAGAAAGATGATGAACAGAGGAGTTACAGAGAACCGAATCAGATACAAGAGTGATATATGATATAAAAGAATGGGAAATAAGAGAATAAGATATGCAAATGTAAATCTTTACATTTTAATTTCATGACCAGAAATGTTAGTTGTTTTTTGTTTTATATTTTCTTCTTTAAGTGGCTATGAGTAATTTATCTGATTCATAGAAGGAATAGTGATCACTCTTAACAGAGACTTTAACCAGCTGCTGGTTGTGAGTGTGACACTTCTGAAGACCTTATGAATGTTTTCTAAATGAGGATGAATATCTTAACAGGCTCACAAGTTCTTTTATTTGTGAGTGTTCTTATGCATGCATATTTGTTGTTGGGGACATGAACTCTGATATTTGAGATAATAACTCCCTATGTGGCAAACACTTAATACAATCTTGTCAAAATAGCAAGCTGGAGCTGTCAAGTAAGGTGTTGTTACCAGAAGATAACTTCACTTATAATAATGAGGCATGGCACACTACATCTTGTAGATCACTGTACACGTACGGATGATACTCATGACTTTCTGGAGTGAGTTGAGATTCTGTAGTGGACCACAACAGACCATATACCTGCCTCTATGATATTAAATGTGCATTTACCTGAGCTGATTGATAATTATAACAATGAGAAAAGTGGTTTGGTCAAAGTTTACAATCTTATTATAAACCACTGACTGAAAAGTGCCTGAGTAACATTGATGTGCCACTTGATGCTATTGTGTGCTGTAACATTAACTATATAATAACAAAAGTCACAGTGATGATTTATGTATAATGTATCAGAATTGGGTTTATTGCCAAGTAGGTTACCACATGCATGGAATTCGCTGTGGTGTGTTTGTGCAATATAAATATAGGAAACAAAATTAAATTCACAAATTCACAAATTAAAGTCACAGGTACAGACTTCAGTGCAGTTCGGCTAAAAGGTTCCAGGCCTTTTTGATGAGGCCAGCAACCAGTCGGGAAGAAACTGTTTTTGTGGCGTGAGGTTTTGGTCCTAATGTATGGTGAAAGTGTAAATTGTTTATATAATAGCATTAGAGTGAAACAGCATAATTTAAGACCTGGATGGAATAAATATGTGTCTGAACTTCATACAAAGGCCTAAGAAGCTTTGAGATACTGGTTTCATCAGGAAAAGCTAAACATGGCCCAATGTTTGAACACATGAGACATGTCAGTGCAAGGTTCAAATATGCAATACGTTTTATTCTAAGAAATGAGAAGGCCATGAGGGCTTTTTCAGTGCCCTTCCCTTCTAGTGTTGATGGCGTCACTGGGTCTGAAGTTGCATGTTGCACCTGAATACTCCTCATCTCACCCTCCCCTTACCAACATGAAATAGAGCTTGTAGTGAACTTCAGTTGTCATGAAAACTCAAAAGGTTTTAGTTTGTCCAGTTTGGACGACAGTAAAAAACATGTAACTCCATGTAAATATAAAGAAAACAACAATTCATACAATTTAGATGAAACACACCAGTGAAAACATCACTATGATTATTTTATACTCAATTTCTGCCAACAATTCCTTTCACCTAAATCTCAATGGACCCTTAATGCAGGAGGTGTTTCTAACAGTGTAGGTATGGTCGTTAGACCTGGTGAAGTGTTCTATGCCATTGAGGAGTTGGCAGTGAACAAAGCATGTGGCCTTGACCATGTATCAGCAGAACATCTGAAATAAGCTCGCCACAGGATCTCAGTGTTACTTGCTGTTTGTTTTACTGGTCTGCTAATGCATGGCACATCGCCCGACTCTATGTTGTCTGTCGTATTAGTGCCAGTTGTTGAGAACAAAACTGGAAAAATATTCAGCATGGAAAATTACAGACCAATTGCTCTGGCTAGTATACTTTCCAAAGTACTTGAAGAACTTCTCTTGGATAGACTTCAAGAATATATAATAGCCACTGACAATCAATTTGGATTTAAAGACAAACATGGCCCAGATTTATGTACACATGCACTAAAGGAAATTGTTAATAAGTATAGAAGACATGTATATTCATCTGTATATGGATAAACTTTCTAAAACGTTAAAGGCATGTAAGACTGAATGCGGGGTGGGGGACAGAGTTGTCAACCATCTTTTAAATGCTGATTTGGTCCTTCTGTCTCCTCATAGGGATGGTTTGCAGCAGCTACTTAGAGTCTGCTCAGATTATGGTTTCC